ACATACCTTTGTGTGTGTGTTTGTTCGTATGAGCGTGTGCATGCGTGAGCGTGTTGGCAAAGCCGAAATTAGCACTTTGGGTTTGCGTTTTAGTACGTGAACATACTGACCGTGTCCAATTCGAAATCAGTTTTGAAATATTGTCCACATGAAACTTGATTTTGTGACAATACTGTGACAGGAAGGAAATGACATGCCCATTAACATAAGATAACGAGACCAACAACACCCTAAACTTTCACACGAAAAAAGCGCGTGCTTGATGGCTCCGCAGCCGCCACACGACCCCCACATTCCTCAACGCTGGGACTCCTTAGGCCTTCAATACAACGCAAGCAGGAAGGGAATTCAAGTTACTTTGAAGATATTTGCGGGGAAAAGAACAAATTCTCATTTTTATGATGGAGATATAAAGCGTTAAACCTCAGACAGACCAGTGTTTTCATATCTGTCGAGATGTAATCTGCCTGCGGGAAACATCGCAGTCATCATTACTGGTGGTTTTGTAACCACTTTAACCGCATTTGGGTTATTAAGTGTGTGTGAGCCGATCTGAAGTAAGTACCTCTTACGTGTGCGTACCTGCACTTGTAATTACACGCGTGCGCGCGCACACGCGTACGCACGCACGCGCGCGCGCACACACACACATGTATGTGTATGTATACATACATGTGTATATATGTATAAACAAACGCAGTCCATTCCCCTGAAGAAAAAGTTATTTTAATCACAGCTGGATCGCTCCCCAGCCTCTCTGCCTCCTTGAAGTCCCTCGTTCGTCCCTCGACAGCGACCGAAGTCGTCGTCACGTTCACTGAATGAGACAGTAATTTCGCTCGCTTCGGGCAACAGCTGCGTGCGGTGTCTCAACCTTCGCGCACTGACTTCAGTTCCATATTCTCGCGCGTTTTCTCCAGATTAATTGATAATAAAATCTTAATGGTGGCCTTTTCTTTGAATTTCAAATTTCATGTCTAATGAACTTCGGTTAACCGCAAACCATTAGAATTCAAATATAGAGGTATACTGTTACAGTATTGGTTGTTCTCGTTTATTTTCTGTTGTGTTGAGAATGTGTCATCTATGACAAATTGGTCAATTTGTTACTACTAGTATTGTTGTTATTATCATCACTCTTGTTATAATCATCATAATTTTCCTATTACAATTATTCCTGCCATGTTTGTTGAAAAAGAGGAAAGGGAGCAAGTAGGGATTTAAAGATATAATCGGGGTGTAAAAGAAAAGTAGGAGTAGACAAAAACAGATAAACAACGAATGTGTATGTGTGTATGCATGTATGTATGTATACATATATGTGCGTGTGTGTATACTCCGGCGCACGCACGCACGCACTCACGCACACACACACACACACACACACACACACACACACACACACACACACACACACACACACACACACACACACACACACACACACACTCACACACATACATATGTGTATGTGTTTGTGTGTATGCTTATATATATAAAATACATACACACATATATATGTTTGTGTGTATCTGTGTATATGCTCACATATATAAATACACATACATATATGTGTATGTGTGTGTATACACATATATACATATATATACATATGTATATGTGTATATAAAGAGAGAGAGGTGTAAACTGATAGACAGGCAGACAGACAGAAGAAACAAATCTACCTAAGAATGAATAAAAATGAGATTGAATGAGAAAAAGGTCTGTAACTCCCAAGGCAAACAGGAAAAGAAAGTTTTAGGATCGAGCGTGCAATATATAGGCTTTCCGATAAGGCAGAAAATTAAGGCAAGACCTATTTTTCATAATATACCACAAGTACTCTCAAATATATTCATATATTTCCGCTGTGTATGTACTTGTGATGGGCGATACTCACTTGTTTTCAATCGATTGCTTTTGCGATCAGCAATCGATTACTTTCGCCTGGAAATATATTATGCAGTTGGTATATTTTTAGAGTATAACGTATACATTTATGGTTTTAACGTGTATATGTGTGTGTGTGTGTGTGTGTTTTGAAATGGCTACCGTCGCCCTGTTCCTCCTCCCTCCTTCCCCATCAACACCCAAACACCCGGTTGTGAAGGAGCAAGGCCAGGAACTATGCATGTGAAAAAAAAAAATAATAATAATAATAATAAAATACTTCATAAACAAATAGTCATTAAAAAAAAAAGATAAATTGCATAAGTTTGTAGAGTAAAGCAAAAGAAAAGTCATGGTGAGTTGTCTTAGACTGAAACAGGCGTTTCCCAGTTCAACCCTGACTCTGGGAATCGAATACTGGACTTTATAATCGATTACGCTTAGCACTTGTATGTACAATTAGGAGATAAAGTGTTTCATGCTAGTCATCCTAAAATCTTAGTAAGAAATACTCATCTATAATTTCAGACTGCTGACCATATGTGAGCAAGGTCAGTAGTTGACTGTTGCTGTGAATTATTTATGATATATGTCTATTTCTGGAGGATTG